TTTTCCTTGATTTCTATCGAGAGTATTCTTAGGTAACTTCAGTTATCTAAGATGTAATTAACTATAGGGGCTTGCCCCTATAGGAAGCTTTTCCCGAACCCAGCACAATATAAACCCTATTTAATTCCTTATATTAAATAGGGGAACTTGTCGGTCAATACATTGGTTTCGCAGACCAAACGGATGTCATAACTTTCTTTAGTTTATTTGATCGAACCTCACTCTCAATTCTTGCGTTCATCCTTCGGGATAGATACATGATTTGAGATAAAGCGCTCTTTCATCTAAACTATGAAAATTATGGGGTCAGTTTGACTTCATCTTTTTTCAAAACTAATTTTTTTAAAAACGTCCTTCCGAAGCGGGCAACGGGATTTCAAATTCCGATGGCCGACAGCTTCTTACGGGCAAACCCCACACCAAAAATAGTGCCGACAGACCTATGTTACTCATATCTCATGCAACTCCCAAATCTGACCTCTATAGCTTACAAATGTTATTACAGCTCCAAACTCCGGCCTCTGTGGCATATAAATATTATTGCAGCTCATCACCATAGACTATGTGACAAACTACACCTTGGTAGCTTGCATTTCATGCAGCTTCCAACTCTAGTCTTTATGACTTATAACCATTATTGCAGCTCCCAACTCTGACCTATGTGGCCTATAGATGTTATTGCGGCTCACCACTAAGATCTATGAGACCAACTACGACCTACATGGCTCACAACTCATGCAGCACCCAACAATACCCTATGTGGCTTACATACTTTATTGCAACTCCCAACTTTGACTTCTATGACTTACATACGTTTTATAACTTACCACCACAACTTATGTGACTAACCACGGTCTGCATGGCTCATAGCTCATGCAGCTCCCAACTATGTCCTCTGTGATTTACAAACATTATTACAACTTTCAACTTTAGTTTTTGTAGCTTAAGAATGTTATTGCAGCTCATAACTATGACCTCGACAACCTAAAGAATTTATTACAACTCACCACTATGTCTTCTGTGACCAACAACATCGTGCATGGCTCACAACTCATGCAGCTCCCAACTTTGACCTCTGTAGCCTACAAACATTATTATTGCTCTTTACTCTGATTTATGTGGCATAAGAACATTATTGCAGCTTCCAACTCTGACTTCTGCTGCTTACCAATGTTATTGCAACTCAACATTGTGGTCTAGTAACCAACTATGGCCTGCGTGGCTCACAATTTATGTAACTTCCAACTCTGATTTCTGCAACCCAGAAACATTATCACAACTCACATTACGTCATAGTGGCACCAATTAAGACATGTGGTTCACAACTCATGCACCTCCCAACTTCGACCCGTATAGCCTATGAATATTATCGCACTACACGACTAACTACGACCTACGTGACCCATAACTTATGCAACTATGAACTGTGGCTACATGCATTATCACAACTCACCATTAGAACCTTTGTGACCAATTACAACCTATATGGTCCACAACTCATGCATCTTTTAACTCTAGCCTTTACGACCTATAGACGTTATTGCAACTCACCACTGCAGTCTATACGACCAACTATATATGTGGTTCACAACTCATACAGATCCCAACTACGACCTTAATAGTCAATTGATGCTTCTGAAATAGACATTTACATCATACATGAACAACTATTACAACAACTTTCAACTATGATATCCATGATGACCCGACACTACAACTGCCATCTACTACATTCATAACGGGCTACTGCCTTCATAGGAGTAGATTATAACTTTTATGGTTCGTTACATCTATTATTGTTGAACTACTGTTATGCATCACCATTCTAATTTTATACTCTCTAATTCAAGAAGAGAGTGGTCTTGATATAATGCTAAAATAATAATATATTGCTCTATCATTGAAATCTCTTAAAAATTTGCTATTACAACAACAATGTTAATGTTTTGGTTTTGAAGTAAAGCTGTGCTCACACCATGAGCTGTCGAAGAACGTGAGTAATCCCATGTTTGAGTAATAACGAAGAAGTCTACTCCCCCCTCTTACTCAAATTCCTACTCAAAATCCTCATTTTTAAACTTTTGATGTCCCGCCGGCAATTTGATTCACAAATCAGCCCCCAAAATGCGGTCAACGCGGATTTCGCTTTTCCGCCAATCCAAACAAGTTAGAGCTCTATATACAGGCGGAAAATAATGAAACGATCAGAAGTAGAAAAAAGTGAGTAAAAGCCAAACGCAAGAGTTTGTCTTTAGATCGGCGGAGATCATCTTCGAGAGGTCAGACCATGTTTTTCCTTTATTTCTAAATCTTATTTCTACTTATCTGCTTGAATTGGTCGAAGCCGGCTGCCGGCCGTCGATTCTGCTGCGATCCGGCAAGTTTTTACTGGAAAAACAGGCTGAAGGACCTCTGAGGTGACCGAAGAACTACTTTCCTACTTTGATGGCTAAGCAGACTGCGTGCTTCCTCCAGCTTCGGCCTCCGGATGATTTCCTCTTTAAAGCAGCCTCTCCCATCTAGGGTTTGATCTAAGCTAGGGTATTTGTCAATTACCTCTTCCGAAAATGAGATTAGGTCCCGCAATGCCCTGGCCGAGCTTGTTGGCACTAGTGTTAGCAGCTATCGCTTTCCGCAAAAAGCGGTGCAAGCCCTAATTTTAATTCCGTTGATCTCGTTCTTTGTTTTGTTTTGATATGTTCACTGTTCACTGAGACATGTCGCCGCCGCCATCGCTGTTGCGGGCATCGAGGGTTGACCTCGGTGAGCTGAAGTCGCAGTTAGCAAAGCGGCTTGGTGCCGTGCGAGCACAGCGCTACTTTGGCTACCTTCACAGGCTGCTGTCCCAGAAACTGAGCAAGCCGGATTTCAACAAGCTCTGTTTTTTGACACTTGGCCGTGAGAATTTGCCACTCCACAACCATCTCATACGTTCTCTTTTAAGGAATGCTTGCCAGGCAAAGGTCCCACCTTTGCAGAAGAAGTTTTTGAAGCGGGAGGATAGTTTAGATCCACCGCAGCCCCCCATCTGGGCCAATGGGGACATCCTGCCTTCTCCTGCGTGCATCCTTGGCCCCAATGAAAGGATAAACGCTGCTGTTCAACAAAATGGTGACTTGTGCTCCTTTGATTTGGAGAGACTGGTGGATGTTAAAGGTCATGAACAGGCAGAGCAGCATGTGAAGCGGTGTAGCTTAAGTAGCAAGGGCCATGAGGAAATGGTTCTTAAGGAAAATGGGGAGAGATTGCAGCATAGGGATGATCCAAAGATGCATCAAAGTCCTATGAGGGCGCCACTAGGGATTTCATTCTGTCAGGCTAGAGTAGGCAGGATGAAAAAATCTTTATCATGGGCATGTAGTGCAAGCATTGATAGATTTACCAGTTGCTTGGATAGTGGTGAGCTGAGCCACACTGAGGATTTGAGAAGAAGGATGGAGTTTGTGGCTGAAATACAAGGCATGGGAGAAGTGGCGGCTGAATGTGCTGTTTTATTGAATAATGGATTGGATGCATATTTGAAGAGGCTGATTAAGTCATCTATTGAGTTAATAGTAGCAAGGGTGGATCGTGAAACAATAAAACAACCACTTTGGAAGCAGGAGGCTCATGGGAAGCTCATAAATGATACTTGGTTGGATAACCACACACACTTGCAAAGGAGTAATGGGGCTTTGGAGTTACAGGAGAAGAACTACTGCTTGATATCTCTGCAGGATTTTACAGGTGCAATGGAGCTGAACCCACAGCAACTTGGGACAAATGCACCCTTGTTACTGGAGAAGATACGTCTCCATTGTTTGAGAGAATAGGAAAGACTATGCAATCTTCGATTTGGTTCAAACTATTGTTGGGGGTGCTGATCTGTATAAACCGGCATGGAAAGCACTACACCCAGCATCCTCTTGGGATTATAGAACATATTCCTCTAAATCAGATTGGGAAGGTGAAATGAGTTCTTACTACAGTTTGGCCCCTTCATTATACAAGTTGTGTCCAGCCATATGAGGAAACTCCAATCACATTTTTGCAGTGTTGTCTTATGTAATATACATAATTGTTTTTCATATCTCTGGAATATGGTGAATGCATTGTCAAGTAATAAAAGTTATTAGGTGTTCTTGATATCATTTATATGTGTACTTCTTTGGATTAATTTAAACTGATTGTTCAAATTGTTCAATAGCTTAGACGTTGCACACTCGAGGAACTAATCTTTATGCTGGCTATGGGCTACCTACAAAACCCGTTACTTTGATTTCCTTAGTTCTAAGGATGTCTTTTGTGATTCACATTCTTTACTGGAGTTTTGAATTCTAAAATTGACAATAGAGTCTGATGAACTTTATTTCATTTGCGAAAAAATTTTAAAACGTTAAAAAGTTAGTGAAAATATGGGCGGTATGTCTTTGATCCATGACCGGAATTTCTGTCTGTAAATGACAGAACAGAGAAGAAGTTATTTAATTGTTTCTTTTTTTAATGAATTTAATTTTCATTTAGATGTAATGTAGCTCCTAAAGTGCTTTAGGAGAAATATTAATGCCAGGCTATATTTCGACAATATGTTACTTTCATTCAGCATGTTTCATGCTTCAGTTAGCTACTTTCTCTTGAGGCCCTTTATGTGACTATTGCACGTCAATATGCAAGCTCTCATACTTCACCACTTCTTTACTGTAGATTTGTATTCTAAAATTGACAATAGAATCTGATGAACTTTATTTCATTTTGCGAAAAAATTTTAGAACGTTAAAAAGTTGGTGAAAATATGGGCAGTATTTCATTGATCCATGACCGGAATTTGTCTCTGTAAATGATATAACAGAGAAGAAGTTTTTTATCTGTTTCTGTCTTTACTGAATTTAATTTTCATTTAGATGTAATGTAGCTCCTAAAGTGCTTTAGGAGAAATATTATTGCCAGGCTATATTTCGACAATATGTTACTTTCATTCAGCATATTTCATGCTTCCTTTAGCTACTTTCTCTTGAGGCCCTTTATGTGACTATTGCACGTCAATATGCAAGCTCTCATACTTCACCACTTCTGAAGAATTCCTGTGAGCAGTGTTCTCAAGATGATCCAAAATATCTGGAATGCTTCATTTTTTTCTTAGAAATCAAAGTGACTATCCCAAATAATTTTATTAATTCTACACAGGGTGTATCTTGTAACAGGTTATGCGAAGCTAGATTGGAACTTGAGACCTATACCCTGAGAGGCAAGGTGTATACCGCTCGAGGTAGAGCTCATTGTTAGTCAGTACTTCTTACTAATGATCTTATGATATTTTAATGTTACACAATGAAAGGAACTTCCCAAATATTTTTTGCAATGTGATAATTTCTTAAAGGGAAATTTAGATGCGAATATTTTTTGCAATGTGATAATTTTTTAATGGGAAATTTACATGCATACTACACAATTCTTATGTATTTATATTTCTAACACCGAAGCTTTGATATTTACTCTTATAACGCCTTGTTGTCATAAACCTTTGCATGAAAAGATGTATTTCAATTTTAAAAATGTAGCAACGGTAGTATTTTTGATGTGATATTAAAAATATAAGTGCTATGAATTTTAAGACAATTGTGAAGATTGTCAATTTCTCGTGACCCCTAATGGGGGTTGATGTTGGAAGGATGCCGAAACTTCAGGTGATTTGGACTTGTAAAATAACTTAAAAGTTTGTGTTTTTTAAACTAATAAAATATGGATCATTTGAATTTAAAAATAATTTGAACTTGGACTTTTAAAATGTAGGCTGTTAGGGCTTAAAATAATTTTGATCTGAACTTTTAAAATGCAGACTCTTAACCTTTTAAAAGTATTTGGAATTTTGGGCTTTCAAAATCAGGCTTTTAGGGTATGAAAATAAATTTAATCTTTTGAAATTTAACATCTCTCCGTTGAATCTACAATTCCAATTTGCAAGCATACATAAGCCTACTCTTTTAAAGCTCAAAATCATATTACTTATACAAATATTTCAAGCTCTGGATGATTTCAAAATTTATATACACTTCATGATTATCTCTTAGTCAAATGCAATGATTTGTATAAGGCTTGTGCGACTAATATTTTTTACTCTTTTGACCTGGGCATGTTGTAGGAGATTCATATAAATAAGAATCCTATACATGATTTCAAAATCTCTTGATCTGAATTTCATATAGAATTATAGCTTAAATATTGCACATGCCTACAAAATTTATAGAATTCTTTAAGCTATTCAAACATAAGAAATTATACACCCGCATGGGCTCCAACTAAAATTCCAAATGTTTTTAACAAATATCTTAGGAATGTCGCGCTCGTTAAGGCTGAACTTGCACTCAAATAATTCATATTTTCAAAGTCAATCCAACTGGTCGTATTGTCTATAGGACAAGGTTGTAAGTCCCACCAAACTAATTCGATCATTCTCCTTGCATGGACTAGAGTTGACGGGTCTAGTAATTTTGAAATAAATGACTAAATCATAAAATAAAAATTTACAAGTTTATCACATAATCTGACTCTTTTCCTTATTAGTATTGGAGTCGATAAGATTTATGTCCTAAAAAGCTTAAACTAATAAACTCAAATGAGCCTCAAACATAAAAGTTTTAAATGTTAAAATCTCCGATGATGACCGTGTTGATTGAGAATCTCAAACGGATGGGTCAATTTTGAAATACATTTTTAAGGTAACTAATTAAACATTCAAGTAAAATTAATCACTTTAGAAAAAAACTTAAAAGCAAATCATATCCACCCTCCGCAACAGTTTGTTCAGGGTGAAAAACTTTTGATTGACTTCACTTCATAAAAACTAATGCCATATTGAGTGTATCATTATATTCACACTCAAAATAATTTTATAACTGTAAGAACTTGACCAAAGTCCTCTGGTAGCATGGTTTGACCCAAAGGACCCACAAAATAGTGGTTATGATCATAACCCTTTGACGAGGTGATCGTCACTAATTGACACTATTATATTACAGTTATAGTCGTAACCGATATGTTTTCCAACAGTTTTTTACTATTTGAGTTATGAATCATAAAAGTATAGTTGATTGACACAAAACCTTATGTTAACTAAGGTCGATTTAAATTTATCCCCTTAGACAAACTCCTCCCCAGGTCTACAAGGGTCCCTTGGACGACACGACTTATAGTTGTTGATAGGGATCTTTTAAGTCTGGCTGGGTTGTCTATCTCCTCTGACGAAGTAAATCAGGAACCGTGATGACCATGGACAACAAAACAATGAGATCATGATCGGGTTCAGCATTATTTCCCCCACCATCCGCTTTAAGCTCAAAGTGATAAATTGTACAATTTCAAGCGCATGTTTGCTGCTAATATATATTGATTTTTTAGTGTTAAATGAGTAGCCTTAATTGAAAGTGCTCTCCTTCAATTATTAGGAGGGGTAATTAATTATTGGGGCCTGTGTCTATGAGAAACCTTAAACCCCAAATAAAAAATTCCCTTCAAAATGATGGCACAATCTCTTAGTAGTATCTTATCTACTATTCTATCCCTCTCATGAAAATTTGGCTATTAGAACTCTCTCAACAAACAAAACAATAATAGAGAGTTTGGGGGTGCCAAATTTTCGGAGCCTACAATAATGAAGGGAACTCCTAGAATATTTTTTTGCAATGTGATAATTATTTTAAAGGGAATTTTACATTTATACTACGCAATTCTTAAGTATTTACATTTTTAACACCCAATGTTTAATATTTACACTTATAACACCTTTGTTGTCATAAACCTTTGCATGAAAAGGTTTATTTTACTTTTAAAAATCTAGCGATGGTATTTTTGTTGTGATATTAAAGATTTGAGTGTTATGAATTTAAATATGAATGTTTAGGTGTGAGGCATGTGACTACATAAGAAATGTGTGGTATGTTTGTAAATGACCCTTTTTTTAGATTAGGGATTGCTTGAATTGCACATGTAATGGTCGTACGTTTTCATTCTAGAGGTATTTGCCACCATTTGTTTTTCACTGGATTTTATTAACTTTTGCTCTCTTAAGGTTAAGATGAAAACTACAAAGCTGTTCTTTCGTCTCACCAATCAACTCCTCATTGGCTATCGATTCATGTTCTTTCCATCGAAAAGCAGTCATGCAAAAAGAAGCATAAAGCCATAGCCTTCTTTTTCCTCCATTGCATTGTATGTTTTCTGGATGGTATTCTTACTACAATTATTTTTTCTTTCTATTTTTTTATTTTCCTATATTTATTAAAGAGTGATTATGTCGATTCTGTTAGTTGACATATTTTCAATAGATCACTAATATAATATTGTTAATTCTTATCCTGAAAATGATTGCTGTTGCACTGTTGTTTCATTTTTTTAAGTGAAGAGAGTAATAGCTCCGATAATCCTTTATGATGTACTATGCACTGTTGTTACACTGTTGTTGCACTGTTGTTTCATTTTATTAACTGAACAGAGTCATATACTTCCAATAAATGATGACGGTTTTTATGCTTAGATAAAGCTAGGAAGACTAGCATTTACAGTTATAAAAGAAATATTTTTTGTGCTTCTGATTCTATGAATCACTTGAATTATCTCCTGAACCTCGAAAACAATAAATCTTTCATCCCATTACAAAGAATGTCTATACAGTTCCTTTTTTCTTAAAGTGATTGTAGAGAAAATGCGTTCACTTACTTTCTTTTGCCTTTTTTGGTCAGAAAATATCCATTTGAGTGATGTACTTATGCTTTCAGTATTTTTTTATCTTATCCATAACAGTCTCCAATCGACACCTGTTGGGTGAAACGTTGGGTGAAACTCTGTTTCACCCATCCACACCACTTAACACATGAGGTTAATGGAATATGTAAAACATTGATGATCTCGTAGCTTTTATTTTGAGAGCCAATAAAAGTTCTTTTACATGGGAACGCATTTATTTTTCAGCATTTCCTTGAGATCTAACTTCAAGCTTTGTAATTTCATTATGAGCGTTTGATTTTCTTCCCTATTTTTTTATTTTTATTTTGTCATTGCCGGTCCTAAGCCCAAATATGAAAAGTGGAGGGTTGCGTTAGGTAGTTGACAGCCAACATAAAACTTGTCAAAAAAAAAAATCATGATATGAATCTTTTTGATCTTTGTGTAAGTGCTAGGGCGTCCCCTGAAAGCGACGTACTATATATCCTGAATACAGTGAATAGCGTGCAAGGTCTGCTACACCAGCGTCTGGGTGTAGTTTTAACTAAGCAAGAGTTTCCACATTACGTAAGAATGCGGGTAAAAAAGTTAGTCAATAAAACTAATGATTATTAGGATAGGATCTTGGAATATAGATACTCTCAATGGTAAATTAATGAAATTAGTTGATATTATGATTCATAGTAATATTATTATCTTTTGTATTCAAGAAACTAAATAGGTTGGAGAAAAGGCTAAGGAGATTGATAACTTAGGTTTTAAACTTTGGTATTCTGGTAAGAGTCGTAATAGAAATGATGTAGGTGTAATTATAGATAAGAGTTTGAAAAATAATGTTGTAAAAATTAATAGAGTTGGAGATAAAATTATAGCTCTTAAGATTATTGTTGATACTAAGATTTTTAATATTATAAATGCTTATGTTCCTCAAGTAGGTTTAGATATAGGGTCTAAAGATAGATTCAAATGACTTAGAAAACTTAATACAAATGATACCTCTTGAAAAAAGAATTTTTATTGGAGGAGATTTAAATGGACATGTCGGTAGATTGGTAGAAGATTTTAGAAATATTCATGGTGGCTACGACTTTGGAGTGACTAAAGAAGGTAGAGCTATTTTAGATTTTGCTTTAGCGTATAATTTTGTTATACTAATACTTTATTCAAGAAAAGAGATGAGCATCTTATTACTTATAAGAATAGATCTAATTAAACAAAAATTGATTATTTTCTTATGAGAAGAAGAGATTGTCGAGATTGTAAAGATTGTAAGGTCATTCCAAGTGAGGATTTAAGTACCCAACACCGTTTATTAGTTCTAGATTTTAAGATAAAGAGTTATAAAATAAATAATACTGGGACTCATCATCGTAGAATTAGATGGGAGAACCTAAAAGACACAAATAAAACTATTTTTATGAGTAAAATTTAAGATTTCAAAATTTGGGATCTTCATGATGAAGCAAATATTATGTGGGATAAAGTAACAAACACTATTAAATATGTAACAAAAGTTATACTTGGAGAATCAAAAGAAAAAACTTTTTTAAATAAAAATAATTGGTGATGAAATAATAATGTGCAAGAAAAGATAAAATGTGAGAAGTTGTGTTATAAAAATTGGTTTGAATGTAAAAACTTAGAGAATTGGGAAAAATATCAATCGACCCGTAGAGAGTCTAAAAGAACAATATGTGACGCTAAAATTCTGTTTTTAATGATATTTAAAGTGATTAGATACTAAGGAGGGTAAAAAATATATGTATAAATTAGCCAAACAGAGAGAAAAAAAAGTAAAGATTTAACTCAAGTAAAGTGTATTAAAGATGGAAATTAAAAAGTGTTTTTCTTAGAAAAATATATTCAACATAGACGGGTGAGTTATTTTGATAAAATTTTTAATGAAGTTTCTGAAAATGCGATCGACTTTAGTGATCTTAATATTGTTAATAATAATAAAATGTTTCATTTTTACCGTCGCATTAGTAAAAAAGAAGTTGAGGAGGCTTTAAAGAAAACCAAAGGTGACAAGTCTGTAGGACCTGATGATATCCCAATTGAAATATGAAAATATTTAGGAGATTTGGGAGTTTCTTGGCTTACTAAACTCTTTAATATTATTTTAAAAACTAAAAAAATGTCTGAGGAGTGGAGGAAGAATATTTTGGTCCCCATTTTTAAGAACAAAGGGGATGCACAAGAGTGTGCAAATTATAGAGGAATTAAGTTGATGTGTCATACTTTAAAATTATGAGAGAGAGTAATTGAACATAGGTTAAGATGCATTACAAAGATTTCTCATAATCAAATTGGATTTATGCTTGGCAGTTCTACGATAGAAGCTATACATTTTAGAAGCTATACATTTATTGAGAAATTTATTGAGAAGTTTGATGGAGTAGTTCAGAGATAATAAGGAGAATCTACATTTGATTTTTATTGATTTAAAAAAAACCTTATGATAAGGTTCCAAGAGATATCCTATGGAAAGTTCTTGAGAAGCAAGGTGTTGATATGACTTATATTCAAGTCATTAAAGATATGTATACTAGAGTTGTTGCTTGTGTTAGAACTGAAGGAGGATTGACGAAATATTTTCCTATTTTTGTTGGATTACATCAGGGATTGACTTTAAGTCCATATCTTTTTTGCTTTAGTTATGGATGGTCTTACTGGACATTTACAGGAGGATGTACCTTGGTGTATACTTTTGGCTGATGATATCCTTCTTGTGGATAAGACGAGAGAAAAAGCCCAGGAAAAACTTGAATTATGGAGGTCTACATTGGATTCTAAAGGTCTTCATTTGAGTAGAACTAAAATTGAATACATGGAATGTAATTTTAGTAATAGTAGCTCTAGTGACATAAGTGTAAGTTTGGGTGATCAAATTATTAGAAGGTGTAAACGATTTAGATATCTCGGGTCTGTTGTTCAAAGCGATGGTGATATAGATGGAGATGTTAATAGTAGAATTCAGTAGTAGAATTCAAGTTGGTTGGTTGAAGTGGAGGAATGCTTCGGGCATTTTGTGTGATAGAAAAGTACCGCTTAGACTGAAAGGGAAATTTTATAAGACGGCGGTGAGACCCGCAATGCTCTATGGCGTTGAATGTTGGCCTTTAAAAGAGAAGCATAATACTAAGTTAAGTGTTGCCGAGATGAGAATGATTAGGTGGATGAGTGACTTTACACTTAGAGACAATGCAAAATGATTATATCCGTGATAGGGTTGGTGTAGCTCCCGTGACGGACAAAATTAGAGAAAGTCGTCTTAGATGGTTTGGTCACATTAAACGTCGACCATCTGATGATCCGATTAGGAGAGTAGATGTTTTAGATTCGACTTATGTTAAGAAAGGTAGAGGTAGACGTAGGAAGACTTGGGCTTATTGTATAAAAAATGATATTATTTTATTAGAACTAAATGAAAATATGACACTAAATAGGACGCAATGGAGAAAAAGGATTCATGTAGCCAACCCCAGGTAGTGGGATTAAGACTTTATTATTGTTGTTGTTGTTGTTGTTGTCACTTTTCAAAGCTCCTTGATATTTGGAATACACACATCATAGATGATCTGCAAGTTGGTTATCCTTTACTTTGTGTGTTCGTTACTGCATAAATGTATTCTTTAATGTTTGTCTACATGTGTTAGTTGATCTGCAAGTGAAATAAGGCTTTATACAAGAATTGCATGCAAACATTTTTGCTCACTTGTTAAAGTGAATATATTGATTTCAGATTTATCTGAACTGCTACATACTTTTCTGAAAATATATTTCTCATGTATTTACATATCTCAGATCGGAACTTCTATATTCACATGCATAACACTATGGTGCTTTAAAAGGTTGTAATAGTGCTTTTTTTTATGTGATATTAAAGATTTGAATGCTATGTGTGTAAATATGAAAGTTTAGGCATGCCATTTAAATCATTTGTTTATAGGACAGATCTCAAACCATTGGGGTTACTTCTGGTGCTGCAGCCAACTAGATCATCAATATAGCATGACATGCTGTTGTGATATAAAATCATGCTATACTGTATAGTATATAGCTATAATTTTATAGATCTGCACACTGTTATTTGATAAAGGAAGATTAACATGCATACCAGTCAATTACCTTGTATTTACATACCTAACACCTAAACGTCAAATTTTACATACATGCCACCTTACCTTTGCTGAAAAGGTGTAATTCACTTTTTAAAAGCTGAACTGGTGATTTTTTTGATGTGATATGAAAGATTTGGGTGGCATAATTGTAAAAAGTAAAGTTTAGGTGTTAATTGAGTAAATAAATAAGAATTGAGTGGTATGTATGTAAATGCCCCTTGATTAAATTATTCTAGAAACTTGCTCCTACGTGTCATAGCAATTTTCCATATTTTTCTATCAAGTTTTATTTATTGGATTTATTTCCCTTCTACATAGATGTTTTTTGTAGTTTTACATTTTCTAGAAACTTGGTGATATATTTACATTTATTGGCTATCCATTTCTTATGATAAAACAACCATTTTCCATAATTCCGTATTTTAGTCCAACCATCCAAAAGGTAAAGAAAATCCTAATCTTTCCATATGATCACCTATCCTCATTTAAATAAAAATTATTGTTAAAATCTTTCTCTCTATGATTCTATTGTATCTTCTAATTTATTATGCAGTCTTCTCGACTATTAGAACTTGAGGCTTCAATTTGCTGCTAACGCGCTCCCCTTGCATGAAGGATTATTTGTTTGGCTTATTTGTTGGTTTAATCAGTACGTACTACTCCATCAGGTGACCCATACAACACTGCTCTTAATGTTGATATAATATTGACTGAATTTTTATTATTGATCAAAGTTCTGTAAATGTTGTAACAAGAATCATAGATCCTAACATTGATGATGAGTGAATATTGATGTGAAATCTGAATTCTTTCTAATTTAGAATCATCAAATATGATGCAACATTAACATTCTGTTTCTTTGCTACTAGCTCTTCAGGGGTGGTGAGCAAAACTTAGGAAAATAGTAATGGTCCTTTAGTCATAGTCTCAAACTTATCTTTCATCTAATAATTTTCTTCTTGTTAATTCTGTCCCCTTGAAGAATTAATTTCAGTTTGAGAAGATTGATTGTAATTAATTAACAAAAATGATGCTGCTAAATCACTCTCAATCTACAAGCTTTGATGGCATGTCTATAGCTTCAATGGAAATAAGAATATTGTTCTTGATTCAGTATTTGGGCTCAATGAATTAGGCCACTTGATTTTTTTCTTATCTCGAATGACTATCAAAATGTTGTTACAAATGTATTTAGTGGCCTATATTCTTTTTGTTGTCCAAATTCATGCTGTTGCTAAGAAGGCCATGAAGGAAGTTGATTTTTCTATTGTCTGTGCTTTCTGCATTGAGATTGTTTGGTTTCTTATTCATTCTTTTGCCTGCCAGATAATTGTTGGAAATGCTTTTGATGTGCATTGATAGTCTCATTAATAATAATTTATGCTTATATTTTATGAATAAAATTAGAATAAGTAAAATATCTATCATATCAATGAGCATTAAAAGATCCAGTGCAGAGATGTGAAACCCTTTATGTAAAAGGAAACTGAACTTTTAAATATTGAGACACCTTTTGGTGCAACAGTTGAAATTTTGACAGAAACTTCAATGTTATGCGCGCTCTCATGTGAACGCTCTTGAGATAGGTGACCTCCTAGGAAGTTACACCAATGGGACATAACCATGAGGCCATTAGGCAAAAGCATACAATATCTCGGTTTGTGATTGCTCGGGCTATTACAAATGATATCAAAGAATTATGTCAGTTTGATGATGAGAGAGCTAAGTGCCATGCAAAACAAAGTGCTAAGCCATTGAAGTCACCTCGTGAACCTAAGATGGGATAAAATGCTACATTGTGGGAGCTATCACTTGAATTTGTAGGGGCCACATCTAGAATCCTATCTGTCTGATGAATGATCTGGGCTAAGAGCACTGACGAGGATGTCAATTAGTTAAGTGGGGATATTGTGGAACCAGTTAAGTAGAATGAAGTTGAACTCTTAAACATTATGGTGGCTTTTGATGCAACCATTGAAATTTTAGCAGAAACTTCAAAATTTAGCGAATTTGTATGGGAGCACTCTTTGGAAGGGTGCACTCTTGGGAAGTTACACCAATGGGACAAATCCATGGGGCTATTAGGCCAAAGTGGACAGCATCTAGATGGGTGAGAGTTTAAACTATTACAAGAGACATCTACACAAAAAAATTCATTGTAATAACTTAGTGTCCACTTATAAATTTGGCAAGCTGCAAAAAAAATCACTCTTTTAAAGTCTCTTTCATATTTGTTGGTCATGGAAAGATGTGATGCTCAATATTTCTATAATAGCATTGAATTGTTTGATGAAAAATCTAATTAGGTGGACAAAGTTATGGATATTTCTTTTTGCGAGATAATATAACCATATAGGAGCTTGAATTTCAAAAGTGGCTAGGAAAACCGAGCAGAGGAGTGCATGTGAAGCGTACTTATTACGCATGATTGTTTTATATTAATTGACAAGCTTGCAGAGTTTAGATGATCTATCATAAGGATCTAAGGCAGGCATCTTTTGTCCCTTCCAAAATGTAATATTTGAGCATCTCACAAGTCTTGAATGAAGGCTCTTGTAAGCTTCGTTGATAGTAAGCTTGTTTCTATCCATAACATAAAATTTTGCTCGGATAAAATATTAAAACTCTTCTTGAATGACATCATAAGGGTATCCATGAGAGCAGATATGTGAAGTCTGCCAAGGATGTTGGAGAATTATAAGTTAGTCGAGCAACATGAGAATGATAAGTTGAACTAATAGTGTTAAGGAGTTCTAGATTGGTTTGTGGAGGAAAAAAACTTCAACATTATCAGTAGGAAACCTCTCATGAATACCTCAACTTGATCGGCTTTTGTTGTTGATTTATTAGCTGGTAAAGTTTCTCATCTTTGATACAACTCTTCATTGGCCAACCTATGTAAAGATTTATAGAATTTGAGCTTGTTTATTCTCCATCTTATGTGCCATTCGCCAAGGACAGGCCTTGGGTGCCCACTCTTGCTTGATTATGATTATGGTTGAATGTTTGATTTCAAATTGATAGGTGTTGAAGTGGGATGATCCGTTGTCATGAATATTATTTGTCAGCGATTGAATTGATGTTGCTCGGATGCTAGGAAGTGGTTCCTATAGACGAAGTCAAATTATTTTGTTATAAAATTTGTGATGATAGAGGTAATTTTATATCCCATTTTTGTACTAATATCTCCCACATACACAAATAAAATAACATGACAGAAAAATATCAAGTTTTGAAAAATTTGAATACGAAAAAAATCACAAAATATGTCTCATATGAAATGATTTATTTTATTATTAGAAATTATGAAGATATGCACTTTCACTTTATTAAAGAAATGGGATTATAGAGTATAGAAGTCTGGCTTAATTTTATGTGGATGTAGCTGAGAATGTAGAAAGTATTGAAGGTTGATGACAATGTTTGATCAATGGCGGTGAGATGATGGCGATCAAGTGATGGGGAAAGAGCAATGATGATTAGGTAAATATTATCTAAAAATAATAAATGGATGATGACAACAAAAAAAAATGGATGAGGTTAGCGGAGGATAGTAGTTGCTGAGGGTGATAGTTAATATCAAATTTTAAGCAGAGTTTTAAAGATTTTTAGATTTTGAAGCTCTTTTCTTGTGAGTTCTTTCATACGGACAATAAGAGTTTATTTATTTATTTAGTGGCATCTTGGCAAATTTTGGCAAAAATTGCAAAACTTATCAAACTCTATGTGTTAATTCATTTGAACATAGATCATTTTTCAACAACAAAGTGTCTAAATGGTCTCATAATTGATTTAATTTGGGCTGATTAAATTTCTCTTATGTAGCTATTTGTTTTGGTTGTATGCACAAAAAATCAAAAATCATTTGGTGCTTTAATTGTAATCCCAAAAATTGTTTGCACACTTAAAATGCTTGATTTAAAATTCATTTGGACTCAAATTAAACTAATTTTAGTGCTGGTGGGTTTTTCTCGTCGAAATTTTTAGTTTGCTTATAAATTTGTTTAACTCTGAGGTAGAATGATCATGAATTTTAATTTAAGATTTATATTAAGATTCATGCTAGATTAAAATGGTTATATATATCTATATATATATATATATATATATGGAATGTAATT